TTTGAAAGGTGAGCACCCCACCATATTTTCAATGGATAAATCTCAGCCACTAAGACACCCACTGTCATGAGAAAAAGATGTGCTGATTCGCTGAAGGCTCCACATGCACCTCAATTATATGCATAAATATCTCAGTATACCCTCACATAACCCTGGATTTCTTTGATAAGCAGGTAACCATCAACTTCTCATAAAAAAAATTAAAGAATCGTATAATTCAGCTGGATATCCAAAATCCAGATAAACAAACTCCTGCCAATCGTTCATGCAGGGCTAGATTGTAGTGGTAGTACACAACCACTTGTATGTTGTCATCTTTCATGATGTAATTTGATTATGATACAACTTCAAAATGTAAGAAGAGGGCCATCAGAGAACTGAGAACCCAGAATTTCAAACTTTATCCACACTGCACATGCTAAAAAATTAATGAATCTATACCTTCTGTAACAGTAGACACTGCTGAAACTCAGACTTGTGGCCAATCCAACCAAAATCATATGCTCTAGGTCCCACATTCAGATTTAACAAGCTGCAAACCATATTCTTTGCATGGACCAGACCAACAAGATGTTGCTACATCCATTTCAACTTGAGGAACACTAAGCATGTTCAAATGCCCAATAATGATCATCTCTAAGACCATATTCTGAACCAGTTGCTTGTCAAAGACGAATAGGCAATCCATAATTATGGAATGATCGGATCCGCCCATCCCAGCCTGCAGTAACAATCACCAGACCCCATGCATGAGAACTGAGTGCACCCTGGCAAGATGCCTTTAGAAATTTATACTGAGATTTACACATTGTAGATGACACAGTCAATGAGCCCAATGTGGGAAGCTTTTCCTCTGGCCACGTTGCGGAACCCTTGGGTAAGGCCTCCGAGAATAACCCATGACTTGGAGAAAAATGATCAGGTGAAGACAGAGGCAACACATTATGTGAGTTCCAATCCAAGGGGTAATGTTGCCATTTGTTTCCTTGGCTACTTATTGCCGATTTTTCTGGAATTTGAAAGGTTGATTGAGTTTCCATTGTGGTTGACATAACACCACACCAAGGAATTGCGACAGATGCATTGTCAGAGATGAAGCGCTCACAAGACCAAATGCTTTTTGCTTGGGAAGGAGCAGGTCCATCCTCACTGATGTAGTCCCAGATATATATGTTAGAATCCTCACTTGCTGAAACAATATGCTTCCCATCAGATGTGAAAGATGCAGATATCTGACTTCCTGCATTCCGTAGGCCTGAGGACAGAAAGATAAATGTTAAGGAATACAAAAATGATTATGAGTGTCCAACACCATGGATTCAGCAACAATCAAGATTGTAACAGGCAGCTCCAAAACTGCTAATGGCACGATATAGGAGTAGAACACCCACCCCTGTACTTGAAGATCACATCAAATCCATCAAGAATTCGGACTTGTGAATCAGCAGAAGTGACCATTAATTTGGTTGGATCACTTGGGGAAAACTGAAGAGCAGAAGATATAAAGCAACAGCAAATCATTAAATTTTTACAATTATCTAAAAAATAAAATGGTAGAGAACTCACAAGGAATACAACAAACGTGGGGACTACCTGAAAGCCAGTTATCCTCTTGCCAGGTGATTTCTTTTTACCCTGTAAACATATTTGCTTCACTAGTTGTAAGTGATTATCTGGTCCATTAAAGGGCATAAATGAGTTGGTTTTCTACAGGGAAGTCTTGCTAAAAAATAAAAAACAAACCAACAGGATAACACAAAAAATTAAGATAGACTTCAGCAACAAGCGGATTTCCTATTTCACCCAATCAGCATTACAGGAATGTATTTGATATTTTGATGGTAATGCAAAATTTTGAATTTATAATCCTCATGTATAGAATGGACATAATAACACCTTCATATAAAATCAGAGTTTTAAAAGATGTGCCTATACTCACAGGCAAGGTGCATTTTGTAACATGCATCTAACCTGAACCTAGGTGCACCTCACCTTTCTTGTTACCACGTGGGTGTTTGGTACCATGGCATTGCATCCATTCTATTCAGAATATGAAGTTTTGCACCATGGATATTTGTGCTTCTTGCTTTGTTCCTTTTCAACCTGGAATGTTTAAGTGCTATCGTTTGCAAAAGAGGAGAATAACACATATGCTTCCACCCAGTCTTATAAATTTTTATTATTTCAGAATTATGGGAGAACTTGAGATGAATATATAGAATCCCAATAATTGGATGAAATCATAAGATTGGAATGTGGAAACGAACTGATGCATAGCTACTTATGCATCAAAATTTGCAAATAAACTAGAGACTGTGGGACGAGATTATATAGTCTTAATCATAAATATGTTAGTTCATTTCAGTTAGCCACCTGATTAGCATTATGCAAAGATATGAGGTGACACAGGATGTCAGAAAACCATGCAAAGATACCTTTCTCTGTTTGGTGCTTCAATGTGCTCGCTTACAGAAATGGAAACATCACACTAAAACATTCCTCGATGATCTTAACTGCCTAGGCAGAAGTATCTATCAAACTGTATCCAAGGAGCAGGGGGATACAAAAAAGTAATATACCATGTATAATTTTGCAGCAAAGAAAGAAAACAAATTATCAGTTCATAATACAATGGGTACAGAATGGGAATAAATTTTAGAAAATAATAAATGCTATCAGTGCAATACAATACAATCTTCAGAAGTAAATCACTATAAGTAACCACATGGTTGTTCTATCAGTTACAAAACAAAATATTGTTCTGGTACAAAGTGTACCTGATGCATCATAAAAGCGACAATTGCCTGTCATCGAGCCAACAATTCCTCCCTAAATGGATCAAGTGCACAGGTTGTTTAGTGATAACCCCTTTCTGACTTCTCATGTTGCATTTTCAATTAACCAAGATAATAAAGCATGGAAATTGACAAACCTGTCCATCAGGCTGATAACATACAGCAGTGACTATTTCTCGTACATCAGTCCAATCAACAACTTGACAATGTGGAATTTCCCAAATGCGTACCTTTCCATCTATTGAACCACTGATGAAGTATTTATCATTGACAGGGTTGAATTGAACGCATGTCACTGCACAATATAATAACCAACAAAACAGATAAATGAGAAAATATCAAAACAGGAGAACATGAATAAACTGATCTTAACCAGTATGCCAACAAGGGGTAACTGCCAGTGAAAATCAAACAGAAGCCATCAAGAACACACCATAGTTATTATGGGAGAAAACCTTAAGGCAGTGGTGGCAACCCATTTGCCACAAGCGGACAGTTTTATCAACAGAGGATGACAGTAGATGCTGCACAAAGTATAAAGACAATGAGGTATTTCTGCATGGTCAAAAAAGGAAAAAAAAGAAGGAAATTAGTTGCCTCTAGATAATCACTAACCTTATTACTCGACCATGATAGATCCAAGACCTCACCACTATGCCCATGGAACTCGTGCAGAGGTTTCTCAGATAACCGAAAGATTCTTCGAGGTAAAACGACACAAACTGATTCTGACATTCTACCTATACTCTTAAGCTTAGCCAATCTTTCTTTATCAGGAAAAAGAGGAGCTAATTCAGATGAACTATTCACCTTATAGTATACATACGAAGGATCAATATCTGCAATATCATCCTCATTTGTTCTCTCATATTCCATTACTTGCCAAACACGCACAACACCATCTTCACCAGCCGTTGCCAGAAACCATCCATCAAGACTGAATTTCATGGTCAATATTGAACCATCATGGGCCGGGATCTCTTGTCCCATATAAAGAGCAGAGAATTCCTTTGACCGCTTCCTATAAGGACGAACCCTAACTCTTTGAACCCTTGCTCCAAAAGACAAATCAGGATCCCTGGGCTCCAAATTACAACCTTTCTCTTTATCAAAAATGCAAGCCACAGCACCTAATCTCCTCAACCAGCCATTCTTTGCTCTCTTTATCATATGTGCGGAGTTGGTTGCTCCTGCAACTTCTTTACGCATGAAGTGCTGGGCCAGAGGGGATAACCCAAGATCCCTCTGAAACTCTTTTACAGCAACTACCTGATTTGAGCCCATTTCATTAAGCCTGCTCAGCATACCATCCCGCCCCAATTCATCCACGATAAACTCGGTACCAGCATCCAAGTTCTTGATCCTACAAATTAAATTTGCCTCAGACACTCCATCTTCTGACAACTCTGAAGCTTCATTAGACCAACAAGATATGGAAGAACGACTGGATGAGAACCGATCTTCAAAGCCAGAGTACCTCAGCACAGCCCCACTATTTTCTGTAATTCTATCCATCTCTACTTCAATGTTGCTGGTAGAGGGATGTCCACAGTCCTCCATGACAGTCCGATCTGAACTTAAGCCCATCCATTTTAAGAACTTCTTACGGCGCTCGTGAATGCTTCCTGGGTTCTGAATCCAAACATGGTATAGGAAACTACCCGAGGCCAAACCAAGAAACCCGGGATTTGAATCAAAATTTTCCTGGCAATTCGAGCCGGAATCGGAGGACGTAAGGTCTTCCCGGGAGTCAAAGAATCTATCCTCTTCCTCTTCGCTGCAACTCCCCATCATTCTTCGAGTTCAACCCATGAATGCCTATTGCCTACCTTTAAAAGGCCATCTTTTTAAAACCATAGGCTATGTCCTAAATTTCCTCCAGGATAGAAGGGGCAAAAAAAGAAAAACACAATAATCAAGATTAGTCCACCATCATCGACCCATAAACTAAAAGAAGAAGACCAGAAAATAAACAATTAACACGGATCCTAATCCAAGTTAATTATGTCTACGATAACAAAAGAAATCACAATTCAGAATAAGGGAAATAATAGAAACCCTAGTTTGTAATACATCAATAATCTCAAACACTAAGTTCACACAAATCAAACCGCAGAGTAAACACAAAAAACGTATAACAAGATACAAAAATTAGATAATAGCTTTTGAACTAAAAAGGTATCAAAAGGAGAATTCAACAAATACACAATCCTATCCAATAAACAACAAGATTTAATCATTTGAAGGGACAGAAATGATAATGAAAAAAAAATAAAAGAAAGTTAAGGCCGAAAGGAAAATGAAAGGTAAATTCATTGTTGCCCTCACCTGGGCTTTCCATGAAATCTCCGTCAGACCCGAAAAATCCATTCATCTCGGCTTTCGGGGATTTCAGCTCTGCAACTCTCTCTCTCGAAACCAAAGACAGACTAAAACTAAATTTAAAAAAGAACTATAAACCACAAAGAGTAAAAGACTTCGGTATACGTAAATAATAGACGGCCCGAGAAACGAGATTGAGAGGGGAGGTGTCTTGTGCGTGCGTACAGTGCTCTGCGTTTGTTCTCTCTCTCTGTAACAATAAACGAAATCTCATCCAATTTGGGTTTTCTTTCCTCTTCTTCACCGACTCTGATGGACTCTTCTCTCTTTCTCTCTCACGTAGGCGTTTCAACAAACGCCCATGTATCTTATTATTTGGTTCAATCAATTATTAAAAAATCGGGCATATTTCAAAAATCAGGACTCCATTGATATATAAAATACAAAATTTAACGTTAAACTGTTTTTTCCAATGATTAACTGATATGTATCCTATGTAATGTTTATCTGTCAGTTAGGTGACAAAAACGTTTTTTTTATGAAAAACAGATCTTGAAAGCATGGGCATTTTCTTTTAAAAATCGATCCCAAAATATATCCACACTTTCAAACACCACGAAAGTTTCAAATTATTCTCGTCTTGTATTGTAAGTTGGTAACGCAGACCTGCAGACTGTATAGGGAAGAAAGAGAGAGGGGTACAAAGTTGGATCTTATTCCCACCATAGCCTCTACTTGATTCCACTTCCACCTGACCTACGTAAACTTTACTCCACTACATACATAAACGAACATCCTTCATGCTGTTAGATTTACTAGAATACCTCCTATTTTGTTTTTTTGTTTGACCACATTATAGTGTATGTAATAACACTATTCCAGCCCGCGGGCGTGTAAAAGGGTATTTCAATAATATAGAAAAAGAGTAAATAACTGAGAGTTAGGGGGTATTGATGGCACCTAAAGACACCAGTAAAGACGGGGTCAACGCCGGAAGTTGGACTCTGGCTTCTGCATATAATCCAATAGTTTCTATATTGACGGCCATAATTCAACAATTAATTAGTCGTGAATTTCTGTTGCGTGAAGATGAATTAAAGTTGATTTTTGTCATTGAAATTGGAATTAATATTGTGATTAGATGATAACTGAAAGGGAGAGATTGAGACAAAAAATCTATGATACGGCCTACGGGTTTATTAATTGAATTTTGGGTGTATTGACGGAGTTCACATCTCCGCCCCACAGCACATCCCCGCCGTGTACATCATCGATATACGGCGGGAATGTGCTGTGGGGCGTAGTGGGGCGGCTCCTTATGTGATCTCGTATTGACGTGAAGATCACACAAGCAAATTGCAAACCGTGAGATATGAGAGGACGGTCAGCGGTCGGGATTGGATCAGAGTAGCAAGCGGACGTAGGAAGGCGTCGGCTGTCACGCCTACTTTTAGTACTACTGACTTGTCGAGTAGGAAGTAGGAAGGAGCAGAGAAGGGCATAGGGTTGGACTCTGGCTTTTCTTTGTCTTTACCATTATACCCTCTATAGTCTAATCTGTCATTATCTAATCTCAATCACTATTAATTTAAATTTTAATCATTTTACATTTTTTTCTCTATCCTGGCCCGGTATCCCCAACCCTGATTATATCCCAAATCTCCCGCTTCAACCACCGGCAGGAAATCTTACCAATCAGGGTATCAGGGTTGGGATTGTGTTTTATTTTATAATTATTAGATTAATTTTAATCTAATGGTTAGTGTGGTTATTCTTTAAGTTAAAGAGGTTTTACATATAAAAGTTTTTTCTTTTGTATATAGGGTAAAGGTTTTTAGAAAAAAAAATGTGAAAGAAAAATACAAAATGGTCTCAATGTGAGAGTGGGCTTTTTTTCTTGTTTTGTTCTTCGGGTTGAAAAGAAAAAGAGAGGGAGTGTACAAGGGTAAAGGCTAGGTTTTTTTATCAATAACAGAAATTTTATAAAAAGATATATAAAAATTACAACCATGAGGGAGGGGTAAAAAGACTTAACCCTCCCTAACAAACTGAAAAAACATATTACATTATAGCCCAAAAAAGATTTGTTCTTCCCACCCCCTGTTTGGCCAAGGTATCAGCCATGGAGTTAGTGCACCTCTTGGCCCATTGAACCCTTACAAACATACTCCGAGTTAATTGAGTAATTTTCTTTCTTTCATTAGAGAATTTCTACAAGCTGGACACTTCCTTCTGCAACTATTTAATAGTTAATTGAGAATCTCCTTCCACCAACAACTTACTAATATTCAGTTGTTTAGCTCTTTTAAATCCTTCTAGAGCTGCCAAGATTTCAGCTCTCAATGAGTCCCCCCAGCCTAGAACATAGTAATGATTCTACCTTCCTCATCCCTGAAGATATATACCAGAATGACCTGGATTTCCTTCACTGCTACCATCGAAGTTCAATTTGATGAAACCCAAATCTAGTGGAGTCTAAACAGATCTAAGAGCTGTGAACATGGGAGCTGACCAAGCCACTTCATCCCACTTTCTAATGATGTCTCCTACTAAATAATCTTCAAAGAGCTTCAAAGGTTTAACCCAAAGAGTCACCCTAACATAAATAAGTTTTATGATGGCTTCTTTACTTTTTTCCCCAAACTGTTCAACAAACAGTAGCTATATGGTAAGGGCTAATTTTGGCTACAAGCTACAAGATACTTGTATTGTTCTCAATTTTTCTTTCATAGTGAAAAACATATTTCGTTTCTCTCGTGGACATAGGCGGTAAGGCCAATTCATATAAATTTTTGTGTTCTTTGTAGTTCTTGTTTTATTTGTCTTTGATTGGATTTCATCCTTTTTGCTACTATTAGATTTCCCGTACTTGTTATTTCAAATACCTTGTTATTTTATATTGTGGGTAGTTGTTGTGAGGCCCCCAATAACTAGTAATCCATTCAAACAATTTTTTTATGGTCGGTTTGGTTTGTCAAGAAAAAATGAGATGAAAAAGAAATATTTTTTTTTCCATTTTTGCATCCAGTATTTGTTTTCCAAGAAACATAATGATCAAAATTCATTTTTTTGTATTTGTTTTCTAAGAAAATTTAATAGGAAAAATCTATGACGATACAGACCCATAACGATACATCCCAATGTGCAACCAGATTTGGAAGACACTTATTCAAATAAGCACGAGCAAAGACCCATAACGATATAGACCGAAGAAGCATCAGATACAGACCAGAGAGGTAGGGGAATAAGTAAATCAAATATCCATAACGATAAATCTTAAAAAAAAGAGAGGGAATTCTTACCTTCCCACAGTTGAATGGAAATACTTAAATCCTACAAACAAAAAAAGTGGATAAACATGTTAGATCTACAATGTTGCAGATCTGTAAAAAACATAGCTTCATACCACCAAGAACAATGGTGTTTAGTCGGCAAACGACTGTATTACAACGAACGGGAAAGAGAGTGACAAAGCCAAAAAGGAAATAATCACCAAGGTTTAGGGGTTAGATCTGGCTTTACCTTGGCCAGATATTGCCTAAGACATCGTCGAAAACTCGACCGTTGTCAAGATGTTGAGGTAGTGAGAGGACGACTCTAGTCACAGCCGAAACAGCCCGGAGTCACACCATATCAACGTAACCCCACATCCTAATTTTGTGAAACCATATATCACATTTTCGCATCCTATCGCAATAACGAAATGTATAAAAATAAAAATCTTATAAAAATATTCTCATTTTTCCATTCCAATCACAGCAACCAAACGCAGCATCAACGTGCCCCAGAATTTGTTGGTGTTTATTTATGTATTAACTTAAGAATAAGAATGAATGAATCCATGAGGGCAACTAATATTAAATTAAGTAGGTTATATCAGGTTAGATTGTAAATTGATGATGAGCATCTATCCTACTCCTAGTAGCAAGTACTACAGTGACATGTGGATACATCCCTGGCCTACCCTTCCATTTTTGTTCAACACTACATCTGAAATTAAATGAAAAACTGACTGTTGGCACTGTGCAGTTGAGATTTCTTGAGAGTGATTTTGGGAATGCCACATCATCATGAGAGTGGGTAAACTAGTAAATGCCCCTAAAACGCTCTAAAGGGCCTATGTTATTGGGCCCAACGGTCAAAGTTATTATATTTTATTAATGGAACACGTGGCATCAAACCCATATGACATGTGGCATGTTTGGTGACGGCATTTGAATTTAGGAGGGGCCTAAGATGGTGAACCGAATTTTGTTCCAATCTTCTTAGAGAAGTAGGTGTTTAAGTCCAACAACCACCTAAACCTCAATTGGAGGATTTTCTCAGTAGTACATCGTTGAACTAAATGGGGATGGGGTATCCACTTACCGCCACCTCATGCGAATCTGGTGAACTGTGGACTCTAGATCTGTCGTATTAATTTATTTATTCACTAACACTGTATTATAATAACAATAACAATTAATAGCAATAAAGTTTAAAAGTAAACTGAAATGTCGCTTCCATGTTTAAGACTTTGTCCACATCCTACAGCCTACAGGCTGACGACGGTCCTCTTATACTCCATTCTTAAAAAAACTCAATTCTTAATCCTATTTATTTCTTCAGCTCCAATCAACTTTATAATATTAATAATCGTTAATATTTTGAGTAGTGGGTAGAGAAAAATGTGGACAGAAGATCTGGATTCGTCATATTATCACCATCTTATATTATGAGTAGTGGGTAGAGAGAAGTGAGTAGGAAATTTGGGTTGTGGCATAGTAAATGATTGTTGGATTCAATTGGATTGGATTACATTTTTACAACAATATTGAAAGGAAATAGAAGTAATAAAATAAAACAATAAGCGTGCATTAAAATTTAGATATGGCTGGGTTGTTGTCTCTCAGTGAAGAAACAAATCTTGAATTGGGTTCATTCCCACGTTTGGCCGTGATTCTTGTCTCCTAGTTGCACGCAGGCTGCAGCAGACCACATCATATTTTATTCCTCTTAAAACTTTAAAACCCTTAATGCAGCAGCGGACCAAAGGCTGTTAACCGTTGATTTTTCTTGATTTAATTTCTTGTGGGCTCACCCCTTCTCCACATGTATGTTTCCAACTTCTAACAATTGCTTACTCTAAACCCACTAATCCTGTCTCTTCATATTAATTCTGACTTATGCCTTTTAATTTTATGTATATATTGTCAAAATCAGTTATATGTGGTTTTGCACTGAGCTTTACAATTCATATCCATGGATGGCTCCTTCAATCACTCCTAAATATCGTTCACCGACCAAATTATTTAATTATAATAATTTTCATTTTTCACACATTCTTTGTTTGATACAATTAATATAAATATTAAAGATATGCTAAGATTTTCTGTAAATTTTATGATTTTTTTTTGTTTATTACTAGGAGAGAGATGTAGTTCCAATTGTTTTTTTTTTTTTCAATTAGTGGTTTTTATCTCATAGCCAAATCAATGGGTTCAAATACATCATCCACTAAAAATTCTAGGTTCATTTACCAAACTTGTAAAGGAATTCTAGGTCCATCATCAACAACTATGCCATAGAAGTATTGCTTAAGTTTCTGTATCTATTTGTTCTCATATTAATAATGCCAAGTTCCAACTCCTCTAAATGCATATAAAAATAATAGAGCTTTTGATATGATTACACATGAAAACAGTAAAACTGTATGATGCAGCTAGTCCCTTTGGATTTTTAATGGTGCCCTGGACCTTTACTAGGAGACTTATGATGCTATATAATACCTTGTATTTGTGCTTATTCTACAAGTTTAGATTTTCTTCTTACACCCAATTCATAGCATATTGTAGCTGCATACCAGTGTACTTGTACAATTGAAGAGTATTGACGGAAAATAGAGATTTTGGCTCATTTCTGATGCATGATATTTCATTGGATCCTTGGTCATTGCGCCATAAAACCAAGGAGGCTAGAGCCTCTCTCATTTCAGTTTCACATGAAGAACTAAAACAACCAACTAAAAGAAAAAGAACAATGGTAAAAACAACAAAAGCAACCAAAAGAATATTGATCATAGCCTTTTAAATTTCATGGAAGAATTGTTCTTGTACATTATTTGAATTTCAAATCAACATGACCCCCCCCCCCCTTTCTTTTGGTAATGAACTAATTTATCAGCAAGGAGCAAGAAAATGAAAAATGCAAGAATTAAAAGACAATATACTAGGGGGTTATTTCACCTATTTGAGTTCTTCAAACAAGAGGCATTGGTATTGTTTGCTGAGCGGTCAATGTGGATACATAGAATTTCCTCAAGTCTTCAATGGAATACATGATGGCTCAAGCTGAATGTCCTCAAAAGAAGATGGAGTCAGCATACATAATATTCTTATTATGTATGTACTTATTTTGTGTATATTAAGTAATAAATTTGTTATAATTATTTTTTTAGATAATTAATGAAATAATAATTGCTTTTATAATTAATTTAGTTAACAATATTGAATAATTGAAAGTTTTATAATTTAACATTCAGTAAATCAAATAATTAATGGATAATAATAATATTATTAATTATAATTACTGATAATAATAATATTAGTAAATAACATTAATTATATATTTATGTAATAATTATTATGAATTAATATAAATATTAAATGATTATATCGGAATTAATAATTATCATTATTAAAATCGTTGTTAATTATAAGCAATTATTATCAGTAATTAATCATCGCTGTTAATTATCAGTAATTAATTGTCGCTGTTAATTATCAGTAATTAATGAAAATAGTTTAAAATTTAATTAATTATAAGTAATTATTATTAGTAATTAATTACCGCTATTAATTAGCAGTAATTAATTGTCTTGGGAATTTACTCGGTTTAAATACCTTAAACCGGTTAAAACAAACGGTTTGAATGATGTTTAATATTAGTGGTAATGGCCGGGCTGGAATCGACCCGACCCGACTCGTAATTTGTCACCTTCTTTACCTGCCTCCAAACATCATTCGCTCGACAGTGATGCAGGGGCCTTCGAGAGGCCAAATAAGGGTGGCTTATCACCCATTTCAACAAATAAATGCATTAAATGTTTGGAAAAACAAAAGAAAATAAGAATGGAGTAAAAAAAAATATGAAAACAGATTATGGTGGTGATTAACAACCACTTGTGAATGCTCTTGAGCGGCAATAAGCGGCCAAGAGTACACTATATTAGCAAGCATCGTACGCTTTTTGCAAAAATACTGAAGATGAAGATGAGGAAAATACCTGTGGCAAGAGTAACCGTTTTAAACTCGATGAAGCTTGTTTCTAATCCACCGATCTTGTCTGCAGGAAAAGAACTGTAATCAGACTTGTTTTGTCTTGTCCGTTGTGCGTATTGTCTGCAAGTGTAATCAGATTTGCAAAGCACTTATACGTTTATCCAGTTTAGGATTCCAATGTGGCGTGGGTAACTAGGGGTCTATTTTCCCAAAAGTTTAATCCATAGCAAATAAATTTAACGGAGGGTTAACTTTATTGGATAAATTGTTGGGAGGTTGGGCAAATAAAGACAGATGACCTAATTTGAGTGGATTAGTAGAGAGAAGTTAGTAGGAAATCCGGACTGCAGGTTTAATGGAGTGCTTGGAGGCTGACGGGAGTGTTTCAAACTTTTGCATTTCTATTTTGTTTTCTTTTACTTTTCCCCCCGTCTCTCGTGTCCTAGCCCTCTCCTTACTCTCCCTGTTTTTTTTCCCGCCTCCACAACTCCACCCTCTACCCGCTCTCTACTTCAGTAGTCTTTGCCGGTAATCACCAACATCTACCACCGGCTTTCTCTCTCTCTCTTATCCTGTTCTTTTCATCTTCTTCTACCAGACGTTGCTACAGTACTGCTGCAAATCTTACACATTCGGCGACAACACCACGGACCAGGTATGCTCTTTACAACAAAATAGGTCAATATTATGATTGTTTATGCTTTCTACTTCAAAATAAGAAAACCATTTTCATCTACTTGAATTACACTTTACATATTCTGGTTTTATAGCATTTCAAAATTCAAACCCAAGTCATTCATCCAAACCAAAAGCCTGCTCCTGGAGATTTTCCTTCTCAACTCTAGAAGTTAAAAAAAAAACTTTATACCATGGCCAAGATCCTTGCTATTTTGCACACACATTGTTCTGGGGGATAGTTTCGTACCTGATAGAGTGAAAAATATTTGTTGGTCATCATTCATCTATTCTAGGTTTAAACCAATAACCAAAAGGTCATGCTTCCTTGGTGTTTGATGTCGCGCAATCTGGAAGTGTGACTTGGACCTCGACTTAGACGTCTGTCTAACTGGGCCGAGTTGAAGTGTGACCGAGCTAATGTTCAGATGACCGAGCTGATGTATGCTGCAAAGAGAAGAGCGTGAGAGTGCCCGGGTGTCTTTTACCTGGGGAGGGCACTCCCATGCTTAAATCAAAAAATGTTTGAGAGTTTTTTGAGAGATTGAGAGAGCTCTAGAGTATTAGTGCACATACCTTCTCAAGTGGGAATAGGTGCCTTTTATAGGCATCAGTGCTCAGGGCCCTCTTGGTAACAGGCCTAAGCTCTTCGTGGAGCTGTTTTCGTTTTATTTGGTCCGTTAATGCATCAGTTGCGAGATCCTCGCAGAGGTTACGGTATGCCCGAGTAAAATCGAGGTGTGCGACACGGCGGACCGTTCTAACGATCGGGGCATCGGCGCTCTTGGCGGCATACTGCTGGGGTGGTTAGCGAGCTCTCCCTCGTAGGTCGTCTTGAGTCTCTATAGCTCGGCCGGCTCCTAGGACAGGTCATCGCAATTTTACGAGGCCTACTAGCTCAGTCTTGGGCGAGGTGCTCCGAGCTAATTTGCCAAGCTGGTTTGCTGACTCAGCACCGAGGTATCAATAGGAGGCCACGTGTCATTATTCGATTGGGATGACCAAATTATCCCTCATCAGTGTTATACACCAAAATTGCTGCATCTAGTATAGGAAATTAAAGGTCATAAATCCCTATTCCATGAATTACAAGTGTCCGATGGATCTTAAAACATCTAACCTAAAGGACTTTCAAAGAATTCCCAAAAATTTTTCAAAATCTCTTTCATTTGAGCAACAACTTGAAGAAACATGTAAGTTAGCCTGAAAATGACAACCACAAAGAGGTTAGTTCATACAGGAAGCAGGCATCATTAGTATGGAATTCTCATGGTATAATGCCTTGCTTGATATTGCTCAACATTCCTTGGAGAGAGAGCATGTAAACTCAGTACATAATTCAAGAGCTCACCTTAAACCTACCCTCCTTTGCTAGGCAAAAAAATCAGCAATTACAACTACAGTGTTTCATCTAGTAGTGTCATGAGCAACTTCTTCACAGGTGCTTTGAACCCCTATTTCCAATCAAGTACAACCATAGAAAGCATTTGCCAAAAATGAAGTCCAAGGCAATTTCTAGCCTCTTGATAGATTAAAGATCATGAAGGACTTCAACTAAAAGTCATTAGTCCAACAACCTTGTGAAACATTTATAAAGTTATCTTGAGTTTATAGTTATAGTTTGTTGCATGTGGCTTGATAAGTGAAGCTCTTATAACCATCATTTTTAGCCTTTTCTTCCATTTGAGGTATTAAATAACAGGATTTCTGAATTGTTTTGATTTTTTGTGCTTCTATGGTGCACTTAAGACATGAACTGGTAAAGAGAAATCTGTTTATCTCAAGCTTTCTATAGAATACTTCCAAGGATTAGTCGATTAGACAATTATGGGTGATCTCCATGTAAAGGATTTGCTGTAAACCAATAGGTCCATGAATACAAGCTAGGAAAGCTTGCTAAGAAGATGATGTTTGATTTTCAACATTAGCCATTGGTTGTTTAAAGAATTCCAAGTTTAAACCTTCTATTTAATAAATAGACATAGTTCAAAATCAACTAAAATGTTCAAGTTTCTCTCCTTAAAATTACAAAGTGAAAAGAAAATTTAAATGTCAAACTTCAAAGTTTTACTTGTTCTCACATTATCACACTTGTATTTTCATTTCTTTTCTTGGTCTTTATATATTGTTTAAGGGGATTGAACGTCAGCAAAAACATTTAGCAGATTTATAAAAAAAAAAGGCATTTGGCAGAACCTCACTAATGACACTTTCTTATATGTTCTAGTTCTTTCTTAATAGGTTCTTTGTATGAGTTATTTCACATTGGTTGTATTAGAGTTTAATCATGTATTAATTTAGAGTATGGTTGAAGCTTATGCAATGAATTTAGAGTATAATTTTGATTTTTAATTTAGGTCATAAAAGTTATGTAATTTGTGAATGAGAACTTTATTTGATATGGAGAATTCTTCCACAATTATCTTCTCCCATGCCTTATTGATATGGTTAAGGGTCCAAATTAAAATTAGGGTTGTAATCAAATTAGAGACAGTAAAATTTGAATTAGATTGGATTGATGTCTAAAATTCGAATATGATCGTATTGGGGATTTTGAGTTAGGATTTGGATTTTGATAACCCTATATCTAAAATCACCAGGATGGGGAAGAGTGGGATTATGAGAAGTTCCATGACATAGTCCCGGATTTAAGAAGAGATTTCCTTAAACAAATTATCCTTGGATGAAAAATCAGAAGTTAATTTGTGTGGCAACATTGGGGTTTATAGTCCCTTTTTTTGCTTAAACCAAATCAAGACTTTTGATTAATAGCGCAATTACAAATTATTTAAATAATGTATATTTTGATTTAATATAGGAAAATGACATTGTTGTGCACATATTTTGGCAAAAGGAAAATATGGAGATTTCTCATTACTCTCACGTAGTATTTACAAAGATGATAAAAAGAGCATCTTCCATATGATCTCTAGTATTGGCCTTTCCTTCCAGTTGCACTGCTTTGCTTACTCCAAAACTTTGCATTGTGGTCTACCTTTGCTCCTGTCTTGTGATCATAGTATTCAACAACGGCAGCCTTAATTACTAAGATAGCCAATGTAAGAGCCTAAACAAGTAGCATGTACAATCAATCAAATTAAAATAATCACTCTATGGCTAATAACAATAAATACCATCTGACATGCCAATGCAATTTTTTTATCAACTTTCTAATAACCTACCAATGCAAATGCACACTCATTCAATATCATATAATAGACAAGTTCCCAAGTATTAGGAAGGCTCAAATAATGAATCAACCTAGGTCTAATTAATCCCATAAAAAGCAACGTTTTAAAAAATGACTTAGAAATGGAATCGTTATGGCCATCGGTTTTTGGGTCAATGGTCCAACTATTCGGTTCGAATGAACGGCTCGTTCTGACAGTAAAATAAAAAAAAAAAACGATAAAAAACCGTTGAACGGGTCGACAGTTCGACTGCCCAGGTCAACGGTTTATTGACTTTTTCAACGGTTTTTAACCAAATTCTAGGTTTTGAGTAAAATGAAACCGATTGCCTAGATGGTTCCCGAGCCAAACAGTTTGACCGTCCGAATCAACGGCGGTTCAAAAGCGTTGGTAAAGAGCTTAACGAAATCAACATTGCAACAAAACCTCACTTTTTTAATGACATCTTTTATACCATTGAAGTAGAATAAAAACTAAACTACAATGTTCACTTGGACTTACCATAGTTGAATATCATTTCATAGGACCTAAAAAGACCATTAGTGCCCCAAGGCTATTCTCCGTTTAAATCATGTGCTTTTATCAAAATACCAAAAAGAGAAGTAAGTTAAATGGCGATTCATGATTAGACTTTTCAAATGGTCAGTTCAATTCCCCCAAGTAAGACATCGTCTTTATGCATAGAATGAGGCCCAATCTCCATAGTCTTTTCTGCCATGGATGATATATGGTTCATCAATTGTTAAACATACGAGAGTGCAAAAGTATAGAATAAAAGTCATAAATTGAGGCACACATTCTACTTGGTAATACATTTGGCGTTAATACATATTGTTGAACTAAACAATTTCTGTTTTTATCTTAAATACAGTTTCAAAGAATAAAAGGATAATCACCAATATGATTTTGATTTTATTAATCAAACATCGTGTTAGTTCTATTATTGTCACCATTCTAATCTGACCCCACAGCCTGCTAAACAGCTGGAGGCGTTTAGCTAATCCGAACTCGTTCAACCTCATTCCCAAACGAACTGTATTTTATCATTTTTCAGTTTGTTTCTGTTTCCCGCTAAAATGAGCCGGTTAGTGATTATTCTTGATTTCTTTCGGTTTCGGTATCAGATAAGATTGGAAGGGTGGGAGACTGGATGGGTAAAGGATTAAGATACAACACCCTGTCGTTGTTGTGTCTGTGTCACGTATGGATCCGAAACGGCCGAAACCGCTTAAGATTCACTTTGTCTCCTCGACCGATTCTCCTGAGTTCAACCGGCTGAATTGGGCTTTGAATCGTTCTTCAGTAATAGGACTCGACGCCGAATGGAAGCCTATTCGCACTCAACAGTCATCTTTCCCCACCGTTTCACTTCTCCAAATCGCTTGTCGAATCAACGATGACGGTGCAGAGGAGACCAATTCGTTGGTTTTCCTACTCGACCTGTTAGCGCTACCTCTCCCTTCGGTATGGGAGCTGTTACGGGACATGTTTGTGTCTCCTGATATTTTGAAGCTAGGGTTTAGGTTCAAACAGGATTTGATCTACTTGTCCTCTACTTTCAATTCTCATGGCTGCGCTACGGGCTTCGATAGGGTAATGTCGTAATTCCGTGCTTTGACCCTTTGCATCATGAATCTTCTCATTTCTCCTGATTTTTAAGTCTTATTTTTCTGCATATGTAATGCATTTTTCTTGAATTTCTTTCTTTTTTGTATTCTTTGTAGGTTGAGCCCTTTTTGGATATTACAAGCATTTACCATTACCTGCAACACAAGCAACCAGGAAAGAAATTACCAAAGGAAACCAAAAGCTTGGCAGCCATATGTGAAGAAGTGCTTGGTGTTTCACTTTCAAAGGTTTGGTTAAGGGGCACATTCCATTTACTTAGTTTCAAGATTTTAGCATGACCCAGTTCGCCATCGTTCTCTTTATTTTTTTTTTCAACTTTCAGGCTACTTAGTTCAGTAATTAATTATTAATAGTTTATAATTATGTGACTGAATACTCATTTATCAAAAAAAAAATTATGTGACTGAATACAGAAGACCAATTTGATCATGTATGAATTCATTAGATTCACTTGCCTTATAAATGATCAAATCTGCAATCTTAAAACTAAGTACAATGTTTCACAAAGCTGGGATAGGGGACTACTACTGGCTTGGCCTTACACTGAGGAAATCAGCCTCTTTTGCTTTTATGAGTGCTCTTAAAAAAGAATCCAGAGAACAGTCATAAGCATGGAATAAACAAATGACTGTTCTCTACGTGGTAGGTTTTTTAAAATAAATAAAAAACCTAAATCCTAGGGTAACCCCTAGGCTTCATAGGACCAGCTATCATTCTCATCAGTAATTACCAATAAACTTCATTAAAATAGTACAGCATTTGTATCAAAATGTAGAAAATCAACATATTCATGGAAGAAAGAAAAACAGAAAGAAAGAAAGAAGGAATGAAAGAAAAAAAAAGAAACTACTTTGCAATTTGACTGTGCCAAAAGAGATATTCATGAAGGTGCCAGCTAGCTTTCCAGTAAGGTCTGTAGCTGGTTGTACAATAGACTTGGGGTTAGGGGAGAGCTATGTGTAGCCCATTTACCTAAGAAAGGGGTGGAAGATCCTGGTAGCTATGTAACTATTGTAATTTCTTACTGATAGACATTAGAAAAAAAATATAGTGTAGGGATTATTATCCAGAAGAGAAAGTGAAGAGAAGAGAGAAGAGAGAAGGAGAGGAGAAAAGAGAGATCTGTGAGCAAAACTCAGTGGTGGCAGAGCTAGCTTTTTTGGTATTTATATTAGGGTGATCATAACATAATATAAAAGAGGGGGAATTACAATAGTACCCCTATGATACTAAACAGAAATAAAACAAAAGATAAACAACCTATAAACAGCCTTTTAACACTCCCCCTCAAGTTGGGACATAGATGTCAATCATGCCCAACTTGTCACATAGATCATTATGCCGCAAGTGATGTAACCCTTTTGTGAAGATGTCTGCAAGTTGATCTTCGGACCTGACATAGGGGGTGCACACTTCTCCTTTGACAACATTTTCTCTAATAAAATGCTTGTCTACTTCAATGTGCTTGGTTCTATCATGCAGTACTGGGTTAGCAACAATATTTATGGTTGCCTTGTTATCACAATATAAAGTCATAGGTCTATCAACTATAAATCCAACTCACTCAACAAATTTTTTGGCCACATTATTTCAGCCACTTCATGAGACATTTCTCCATTGTTTTCAAAACCGGACCGGACCGGAAAAATCGGGAACCGGTCACCTGACCGGTTCCGTTTTCCTCCAAAATCGCTTTTTCCCCCAACACCGTTGATTTTGGTCAGCAAACCGCTGAACCGGCCAGTTAACCGTTCAAACGGTTTTGACTGTTTTCCAAATTTTTAATTTTTTTTTTATTTTTTTGTCAGAACAGGCCAGTCGTTCGGGTTGAACGGTCCGACCGTTCGAACCGGTAACCGGACCCCTGACTGGTTCGTTTTTAAAAACCATGCATTTCTCTATATTCAACTTTAGCACTAGACCTAGCCACCACATTCTGCTTTTTGCTTCTCCATGTGACTAGGTTTCCTCCCACAAAGGTACAATAGCCATTGGTAGACTTCCTATCATCTAGTGATCTTGCCTAATTTGCATTAGTATACACTTTAACTTCAAATGCCCGTGCTCTTGGAACAATAAACCTGCACCTGGGAATTTCTTAAGATATTTGATAATTCTTTCAGCTGCTTCAAGGTGGGTGGTCTTAGGGGCATGCATGAATTGGCTAAGAACACCCACTGCATAAGCAATGTCTGGCCTAGTCATGGAGAGATATAGCAGTCTTCCTACAAGCCTCTGAAATTGCTTCACATCTTTGATGAATTCACCTTGACAATCACTTAATTTGTGATTAGGATCAATAGGAGAATCAATGGGTTTCACTCCCAATTTTCCTGTATCCTGTAACAAATCTAAGACATACTTTCTCTAAGAATGAAGATACCCTTTCATGAGTGGGCAACTTCAATTCCAAGGAAGTATCTCAAAGGACCTAGATCTTTCACCTCAAACTAAGTAGCAAGAAATCCCTTCAATTTTTGAATTTCATCTTTCCAATCACCCGTGATAACTATATCATCAACATACACTATTAGGGCTGCAATTTTCCCTTTCCCTCTTTTCACAAACAATGTATGACCGGATTGACATTGCTTGTAGCCTTTTTGTTGTATAGCTACATAGAATCTGCTGAACTAAGCTCTTGGTGATTGTTTCAGGCCATATAGTGACTTCTTCAACCTGCATATCTTTTGTTCATTACCTTGAACCCGGAAACCAGGGGTTGTACCATGTACACTTCTTCTTCAAGATCACCATTTAGAAATGCATTCTTGATATCTAGTTGGTGAAGGTCCCAATTGAAGTTAGCAACTAAAGAGAAAAGAACCCTAATGGAGTTCATCTTAGCAACCGGTGCAAAAGTTTCTACATATCCACCCCATACACTTGAGCAAACCCTTTTGCCATTAAGTAAGCCTTATACCGCTCCACTGTGCCATCATCCCTATGTTTTACTACAAATACCCATTTACATACAATTGCTTCCTTCCCCTCATAAAGATCCACCAATTTCCATGTACCATTTTTATGTAATACATTAATTTATTCCTTCATTGCATTTGTCCATTCAGGCACCGAGAGAGCTTTTGCCACATTCTTAGGAGTAGGAATAGGAACACTATCAATGGAAGAGAGGAATGCCCGAAAGGAAGGTGAAATGTTTTCATAAGAAACAAAATGGGAAATGGTGTGCTTAGTGGTGCAAGACCTAACACCCTTTTGGTGAGCAATAGGAAGGTCAAGATCATCTGCACTGGAGGTATCAATAGCAATAGGGTCAAAAATATCAATGGGAACTAAGGTACCTGGCTGGGTAGGATTCATCCCCAGAGAATTTGATGGCATTGGTGGTACAACTTCTAGGTGCTTCACAACTCTTGAACTTGGTTGGCCTTTGTGACGACGATAGAAAACATGGAAGGGAGGAGGATCAGGAAGAAGAGGGAGCTGAATCTGAGGCAGAGGAGGAAGCTAAATCTGTTTTATCTCATTCCTATACTCCCCCTGAGGAGAAACATGAAAGAAAGGTTTACTCTCAAGAAAGGAGATATCCATAGAAACATGATATTTTCGAGAGGCGGGATCAAAGCACCGGTACCCCTTCTGAGTTGTAGGGTACCCCAAGAAGATGCAAGGAATAGTACGAGGATCTAATTTCCCATGAGTGGGTGATAGGTTTTGGACAAAACAACAACAACAAAATACACGAAGAGGAATTGACAAAAGAGGAGCCTTGGGAAACAGAAGTTGATGTGGGGCTTTGTACTCTAACCATCGAGAGGGCATGCGATTAATGAGATAAGTAGCACAAAGGATAGCTTCAAGCCAAAAACATTTGGGCACATTCATATGAATCAATAATCCCTGAGCCACTTCAAGAAGGTGGTGGTTCTTTTTTTCAGCTATACCATTTTGTTGTGGTGTTCGGGCATAGGAGCTACGGTGGAGTGACCTACGTGGAGCAAAGAACTTCGTGAGATCATTATGAAAGTATTCTTTGGCATTATCGGATTGGAAAATTTGGATTTCAGTTTGAAATTGGGTGAAGATCATCCTTTGGAAATCTTGGATAATTTTTGGTACTTCATCCCTAGTTCGCATGGGATACACCCATGTGTACCTGGAGTAGTCATCAATAAAGGTAATAAAATACTTGTAGCCACTTTCAAATGGTAAAGTAATTGCGCCCCAAACATCAGAATGAACAATGTGGAAAGGAAATTCAGATTTATTATTCTTTGAAGAAAAATGAGTTCTACAATGTTTACTCAACTGACAAGTTTGACATATCAATTCTAACACTGACACTGACTTAAACAACTCTGGAAACACAATCTTTAAGGAATCAAAGGATAAATGACCAAGACGACTGTGCCATAAATAGGCTTGACTCTTAGACTGTGACTACAAGACCAGCCTTATTCTCCAGCAAGTAGACACCATCCACCATATGTCCTCTACCAATCATCTTCCTGAGGCCAAATCCTGAATCACACAATAAGAAGGGAAGAAGGTTACTGAACAATACTACTAACAGAAAACAAATTAATAGGGAATTGTGGAACGTGTAAAACATTAGAAAGTGTAGGACCAAAAGGAAGAGAAATGATTCCTTGACCAGCTATGGTAGAGAATGAACCATCAACCAATCTCACTTTGTCTCTTCCTGAGAGAAGATGATAGGTCTAAAAGTAAGTAGACTTACTAGTTATATCTTTTAACGCTCCAGAATCAATTATCCAAGGAGAGTTAGAGGAATTAGACGATACATGGAGAGCTGTGGCAGAATTACCTGATGTAAACGCATATGAAGTTGATGGAGGAGTAGCATCCATCTAACGAATTGTCTTACTATAAAGTTCTAAATGGTCACGTAAGGAATTAATGATATCCTCCCTAGGGTCAGAACCTGAGGTGTATGTCTGAGCTGTAGAAGTAGTTAGGGCTGGTTCTCCTAAGTAGCCATGTTTGCTGTAGTGAGCTTTCTTGAACCTTGCCATCCTAATTTCTTATTCAGATCTGAACCCTGTTTCTTACTCAATTCCTGAGCCCATTTTGGCTTCCTATGAAGGTCTCAGCATGTGTCACGAGTGTGTCGAGACTTCTAGCAAAGGGTGCACCATAATTTTTCTTTGTCATCCACCCTTTTTTGAGAGTCTCCTTTCGTTGCCAACACAACTGCATCTCCCCCAGAATTATTCATAAGATTTCTTCTACTTTCCTCTGA